GCCATCACAGTCCTCTGGGTGTCCTAGGAGATGCTTTGGTCTTCTGCAGCAGGCAGAAAGATGCAGTGTGGGTTTTTTTGTGAAATAATATTCCTGTGCTTTCCATGGAGAAAAAGGGTTTGCCAGTAAGTACTTTGCTCTTCCAAGTCTGTTAAACAGACTTCAGCCATCCAGAGTAGCATCCTTGGGAAGGCTTTCTACTTTTTCTTGATTTGCTTGCCTGCTATCCTATTTCCTATGGGAGAAGGACCAAAAAGCCCTGTTCACTTGACCTCAGCTTAGAGAGTTGAGTGTCTATGGACATTTCTTTTATAAAGTTGCCTGAAGTCTCCCATGTAAAGCAGCTAACATCCAGCCCCCTCAGTGCACCATACCCAATATGTGCGCTCCCAATGACCACTGAACAGTCTGTACAAAATCCAAATCACCAGATGATGCCCAAATATTCAGCTCACCTGGGAGCAGGTAGTGGGTCTCCCACCATCTCCCACCCTTCTCCTCACAGGTGACCCATGTCCTGGGGAGTCTGTAAGCACCTGCACCAGGACAGGGTGTCTGCTAACAGTAACCAGCACATTGCTGGGTACCCATCAAATACAAAGAATGACTTTTTCCTTGTCGGCTATCTTTTATACGACCTCCAGAAGCATGAGGAGCAAATTCTCCCTAACAAAGCCAGGTTCTCCCATTTGCCCATCCTGTTTAATTCTTTAAATTATGGTTGATATTGCATCTGAGTAGAAATTACTTCTCAGTAGTGGACTTGAGGGTCAGGCCCCGATGAAGTCCTTGGGTAGCACAGCCTGTGGTGGGCAGAAGCCACCACCACCGTGCTGTGCTTGTCCTGCCCAGCAACTCATCTCTGGCTTTCTTCATGACTGACCTTATAGCATGGCTTTGGACTTGCTGGTTAAGCAGCTTTTGGTGGAATTCACCTCCCCTTGGCCTCTGAAATGCCACATGCTTGCTGTTCCCTCCTTGGCTTCTCCAGGAGTCTGAAAATCATTATGGGCCTTCAAGGTTAAAGTCAGTGGTTACCAGTGATGCAGCCCAGTGCCTTGCAGGAGCAGTAACCCAAATCCTTCCCATCAGAGATTGATCCATCCATGACGGACCTGCCCAAAGTGTCCTCGACAAGCACAGGATGGCCTGTGTCGTATGGTGCTTACCCTGCTTTGCTTCCACTCACTCCCAAACCAAACCAAAGCCTCTCCCAAGCTAAAATAACCACGTCCATCTCAAAGCCTTCCCTGCACATCAATCTGTTTAATTTTGCACACTTTTTTTTTTTTTTTTTTTTTTGTGGCTAAGCCAACAGACTTGTCTTTGGGGTGCTCACAATTTGCTAATTCTCTAATCCATGAGCTGAAGTGCTTGTCCCGTGCTGTTGGGAGCTGTTTGTCCATCCTTGGTTTGGCTGGGAGTGCGTCTGCAATTGCTGCGTGTCGCTCCGACACGGTGGCACACATGTCACGAACAGCAAGGGTTGCCATAGCAATATCCTTTTCGTACAGAATTGCTGTGCTGAAAAGACACTTAAATTCTCATGTAACTGGCAAGAGTATAAGTTTAGTGCTTTTTCTGACAGCTCTACCTAGCACTGCTGCAGTCTGGGTATTTTTTAAAGTGTGTTAATTAGCACTTAAATAGAGTTTTTTTCTTAAAGTATGGGATGTGGGGTTTTTATTTTTATTTCTTTGATTCTTCTACTTTCTTCCACCTAAGCTTTTGCCATCAGGTTCCAATCAAAATTTTACTGCTCTATTTTTACCCACTGTCTGTAAAAGCAACAAAAAGCCCCCTTTTTTTGCCTTCTTGTGTAGAAAAAAGAAAAAAAAAAAGATAAATGGCTGTTACATAAATGGAGCCAGGGAGGTAGGTAAGAGACAGAGGTCCAATGCTGCTGGCTAGGAAGGATGGGAAGATGTTCATGGAAAGACTGTGCAGAGAGGAAGGGATCCTGATCTATCCTGCCTTGCCACTAGCTACCTGAAGAGCCTGACTGATTAAAGAAGGGATCTCTTCAAGACACCTTTAGATGGAGAAAGGCTGCTCTGGGAAGGAAAAGGAGACCTCTGGCAAGACATGAAGCTGGTTCATAGTGGATAAATTGGGCTCCCTACAGAAAAAGCAAACCCCAAACCCCTCCAAATCCTGTACCCAGTAACATCAGTGGGGAGTTTTGCAATGAACTCTACTGACACCAGGCTATGGCTTTTACCAATATATTGATTATAGGTTTGGTTTTACAAATGGATCTTCAAGGTGAAGAATTATGCTGAAAAATGACTGTATTTACAAAGGTTTTTATGGAGCATGCATGTAGAAATCATGGACCCTTCCAAAAAGCTTCAATGAATGCAAAAGAACATCTTGTTCGTAAGGTAGCTGTTATAGTTGGAGTCTGCCTGCTATTAGCTGTCAGACAAGTGAGAAGAATATGGAGAGATGCCTGGTCTATGTGTTCTAGCTTGCATTTCTGGGCTCAGCGAAGAGGCACCGCTCTGCCTCGTGCTTCTGCTGTTGCAGAGCAGGGGTGGTGGGTTGGTGCCCACTTCTCTGCTCCTTCCCCATCTGCCCCTGCTGCCCACGTTCACTTCAGCACAGTCCCAGGGAAAAAAAAAAAAAAAAAAAAGGATTACTCAGTGGCTAGTAACATTTAGACTTTTTTTCCACTGCTGCCACATTTTCTTATGCCCCTGTGACCCAAAAATGTGGATGACAGTTTCCTTAAAATGATCTCAAAGCTCGTTATCTGCAATGTCCAGTGCAGCGAGTGTTGGGATCATGCCTTGGCTTCCCAGCAATGTAAACCCTGTGCTCAGAACTCGCCTAAGATTTTTTCCGCTGTTGGTTTGAAGTTTGCTGCTACCCTACAGCAAACATAAATCTCTCCATCTTCTGAGAGATGTAACAATTTTTGCAGAATATTTTGCACTTGACCTCTATTAGTCACAGTAGAACAGAAATACAGGAGTGTGTGCTTGTGAAAGGCAGAAAAAAACCCCAACTCGGCTGCTCTGGAAAAGACGGCTGTCCTCTTCAGTGATGGAGGGGGCAACAGGAAAATGGCACCAATGCAGAGGTGGGCGACTGAGACACACACCTAAAGGCAAAACCCAAAGCAGTGACATGAGTTTCAAGGCATGATGATAGAACAATGAGAAGCAGATTTTTAAATTAGGCTACTGAAAAAAAAACACAGGTTGAAAACCTTATTGATCAAACTTGTAATCAAAGAAAGACCTGAAATGAGTCTTTGGGATGGATCCAAGCTTAAGCTGATGGCTGCTGTGCAGGATGAGGGAAGCTTGTGGTTTGCAGTCCCTTGGAGAGCCATCCTGTCCCCTCGTGACACAAGAAACAGTCATCTGCATGTACAGGAGCAAGATCTTGCTGTTCCTTGGGGTTTCTGGAGCTTGCCCAGCCAGCACCACGAAGCCACCGACACTCCGATGGACCTCCCCGGAGCGCTCCCCATGCTGGCTCCATGAGCACCAGCTGGGAAGCCTCTCCCATGAAGGCAAGGAAAGCAGATCTCTCCTGGGGTGACCCACAGGTGCACAGTTCATCCAAAGGTAGTGCAAGGATTTGTGTCCAGTTTAGAAGGAAAAATGCTTTCCAGTGTGATCCTGGCTCCAGGCTCGCCCAGTCCTTGCACATTCCATGGGACGTGTTGTGTCTCCAATCTGCATCACTCCACCTTCCCCTTGCTGCTCATTAAAAACTCTGTCAGGAAAAATACCCAACACTTGCAGGATCTGAAAGTCTGACACAGTACATAATGTATGGCAGTAGGCTCTAGTTTTATTCCTTCTTCTCTTCCCACAGTCTGCTTTTTGGCTTACCCTCCTTGGAGCTTGCCCGTGGGGTGGTGGTTATGGTGGTGGTGGTGGTGGGATGGCTCCTGGGAGGGACTGGAGCAGCTGGCTGGTCAAAACTACACGCTACCGTGTAGGTGAAAACATAACTTCTCCCATGAGAAGCTGTCTGACATGGAGGTATCACTGCAGATCACGACCAGGTCGTATAGGATGAAATAAATAAAAGTTGGGCAGGCAAGGAGGAGAGAAAGCTCTTTCTGAGCTTTCCTCATGATTTTCATCTCACATAAGGTTATTGAAGACCGATATAGAAGAAAGGCAAAACTGCTGGCAAGCAAATGCTGTTGAAGATGCAGACAGGACCAAATGGAGGGAGGTTTAACTGGCGCTGGTGGTTGCAGAGTCGGTTGGAAGACTGTGCACAAATCTCAGAAATGCCCATGGGTGAAAGCAGGTGGTGCTTCTTAAGCCTTCATTCATGGTAGGAAAAAATGGCAAACAGACTTACACTACCCCACAGTCTTGTGTCAAAGGCGGAGTTTGCGAAGCAAAAATAGAAACTTTGTATGATGCTGGCAAATTCTCCTCTTTTTTTACCCTGAAAATACTGTACAAGGATGCTTTAGCTCCCCTCTAATGCCATAAACTCAAAGGCATGGTCATAAGGGAAAAAAAATAGTGAAGCTGGAGTACATGAAGTAGAACGAACAGGACTTGCTTGTGGCAATGCTACGATCAACTTCCTGGGAATGTGGGCCCAGCGGAGAGCTACGCAAAATAGTCAGTTGGCCCCTAAGTTAAAAGACAGCCCCGCTGTGATAGGTCGTGAGGCTGTGCCTCCTTAAAACTGCAGAACAGGCTGCTGGGTGAAAGTTCCTTCCAAGTTACCATTGCTGTTTCGAAGCAATAATTCGGGACTCCTGTGTATGGTTTTTTTGTATTTATTGCATTAGGAAACAAAACCTTTAAAGCATTAAGACAGCCCTTTTATGTCCCTGCCAAAAGGATGTAGTTGATTCACAAGACACGTTACGCTGCTGGCCTCAGGCTCCCTGTCGAATGATGCTTTATCTGCCCGCCTCTGTCTCTTTGCCGAGTGAGAGTTGGTTCAGGGGAAGCTCACCTGGTGGCATGCGCATGCATGGTCAGTTTGGTTCACAGTGTCGTGGTGAGAGGCTACTCCATGCCGCTCCGCAGGATCTGGTTGGCCGCGATCAACATCACGCTGATAATAAAGGCCATGGCGAACGCACAGATAAGGCTCTTCCGGACGCAGGTCTGTCTGTTCTGCTTCTGGGCGTGCACTGCGGGGGAGACACGGGAAAGATGAGATGCTCAGTCAAAGTAATGGTTTTGCTTTCCAGAGGATCAGCTGAGCTCAGAAATCCTCCTTTGCCTCTGATTATTACCCTCTAGTCCACACCTCCCCTGCGCCAACCATGTCATACCTCTCCCCGCTGGGACTGTTCCCAATAATCCACCTTACCTTTCATTGCTTCCAAACCGCTTTTCCTAAGAGACCACCTTCTCACACTGCAGGAAGTCATAGAATCATAGAATAGTTTGAGTTGGAAGGGACCATGGAGGTCATCTGGTCCAACCCTCATGCAGTGAGGAGGGACATCTTCCACTAGATCAAGTTGCCCAGAGCCCCGTCCAACCCGACCTTGAATATTTCCAGGGACCATCTACCACCTCCCCTGGGCAACAAGTCCTTTCTCTCTCACCTTGGCTTTTAAACCCTTCAAATGCTTGTAGATGTGTTTCAGTTTATCTGTGTATTTCTTTCAAGACCTTTATGAAGTTCTCTCTAAAGTTCTTTAATTGAGAATATTGGTCTTCTGTGACTCCCCTTAAACTCATCCAGGTTTTTCCAGTTACTGGGAATGAGCAGAGATTCAAGCTGTGCTCCCTGACAACACTTAAAACCCCACTGTGATAGTTCCCATGAGTGTGCACAGCACGTTAGTCATTCTTCCAAACTGTCTTTAGGTTTTCTGTGCCCAAGCAAAATCAGACTTATTAAGAACCTTCTCAAATGAATGCCTGCAGAATAACCGTCAAAAAGAGGTGAGAGTAATTTGCAGCAGTTAAAATGCAGGCAGGTTTGGGATTTTTAGTGTTTGACTTAGTATTTATTTATTTTTTTTTTTAAGTTCATCAACGAGGATTCATGCTGTGACTCACTAAAGACAGTTCATGTCTCTGTCTTAGTCTCCCTACCTATGAACATCAGACCAGTATGTGGTATTGGGGTACCATGAGGATTAATCTGTTAGAAAAGGCTCTGAAGGTCCCCTGAGACAATCACAGAAAGCCAGAATATCCTCACACACGGGACAGATAGTTCAGTCTTGTTTTGGCCTGAGAAGAGATGCACCCACCCCCTTTTTCCAGTGGATGGTCATACTTGTGCTGATGGGAGACTTTCAGGTGGTCGACAACAAGCTCAGAATTACATTAAACCTAAAATGCAACCAAGAAAAGGCTCCAAGTGCCCACATTTGGAAAAGTCCAGGAGGATTTTTTTTAGAATATATGGAAAAAAACCCTTGTTCTGATCCAGGCTTGAACCTCATTGCACGAAGAGGAGGGAGCACAGGATGCTGCATTTTGAACACTTGTTTATCCCCGCTCACTTCCTCTGGCCAGGATTTAGCATTGCCTGTCTCCTAATCCCCGTTCCCACGCGGTCCCCCAGCACCAGCTCAGCGCCCGAGGCACCATCAGCCCTCATTAGGCAGCCCTTGGAGTCAGACTGCCCAGGGTAGGGAAACACGGCACTGCCAGCGCTCCGAGGGGCTCGCTATATTCTGTGCAGATAATGAAATGCCCCTTCCAGCAGCTCTCCTCAATCACTTGCTTTCTGCTCCTGCTGCTCTACTCCTTGATTCCTCTGCTGGCTTTTATAATGCACACGGAATCAATACTGTGGTTCCTTGGATTTGTGCATGATGCCCCAGCACTTTGGAAAGCTTGTTAAATCACAGCTTTAGTTGTTTCTTTGTTTATTTTTCTATTATTTCGGTACTTTGAAAGCACTCCCAGCCAGCAGACAAAACAGTGACATGAGCCATCACAGTCAGCATTGCCATTCAATGTGGGGCTCTGGTGCTGACTGGGAGCTGCAGTCAAAGACTGGACAAGGCTTTTTGTGATGGCAACTCTCCTGTTCAAAGGGAAAGAATAAAACATGTTCAGTGTTTCTTGCGGGAGTGTTCCTGAATTGAATAATTTCTTCAGTCTTCTGTTGTGCCATCAAGTGAAAATAGAGCTTTAAGGTAGCAGGGTGCAGGTAAGTCATCATTATTGTTCTTCACCTACTGAAGGTACATCACATCACCAGATAACCTACCAAATAACTTCAGAAGAAAGGGGAAAGGTCTGTGCTGAAATGTAGAGGTGTTGCAGACCCAGAGAGACCCTCTTGCTCTTGGTTGGTTACTCCAGCAGGAAGGTGAGTATTACCATTCATCTGTCCCCTCACAAACCACAGGGAGACAAAGAACCTGGAGTTATTGAATTCTTCACTGTAAACAAGACTACGTGCTGCCTTGTGAACTGTTCTTTTAAATATGAAGACCTATTTGCCCTGTGCTCACTGGTGAGCTTTTGCCCTCAATACTCTCATGTCTCAGAATCATCTGAGCACGGCATCTGTGCTTTTCCCTGCTGATTTCCATAGCTGGCACTGTCGCAGTGCTGGATGCTCGATCTGTTTTGCATTTGGTTGCCAGCAGGAGTTTTTAATACCCATGGGACATCCAGGGGTTTGGACGTGACCTGGTTCCTTGAACACGGTCAGAGCCTGAAGCTCCTCTGGAGGTGCCCCAGCCTCTTCTTAAGAGAGAGAGCAACTCCCAGGCTATCCAATGTAAATGAGATCTCAAGAAGCAAAGGTAAATCAAGACTGGGTCATCCTTCATCTTCTCAACATGCAGAGAACTCGCTGGCAAGGAGGACTCACCATGGTGTGACTGGGTGGCAGAATCAGAGCTACTGTCACTACAACTTCTTCTCCAAGACATGGGGTTAATGGGTCCAGCCCATTTCAGGGTGCATCAGCCCACTGCCTGTGGCTGTCAGGCTGGTCACGATGCCCATGGGGAGGGTGAGATGGTCAGAGTAAGTGCTGAGATCCTTCTCGCCTGCACAAAAATGCTTGTTGACATGAACAGCCACAGTGTATTTATAGAGGCTTCTGTCATAACCCTGCCAAAGGTGAGCGATATTTGCTTTCTCTGGCTGGCTGGAGTTCTTTTCATTTGAAGAGGTCAGTTTTTCATTCCCAAACCCTTAGTTGAGCAGTGGATGGTCCTAGTGCTTGTCTGGGGGAGCAGCGAGGGGAGCTGAGGCAGCTCTTGTACATCCAGTTAATGTGACTGTCAGGGCTGGTGATGAAATACCCGTGGCAGACAGCATGGGTCACCGTAACCAGCCGGCTCTCTTGTTTGCCACGAGCTTAATGTCGTGTTCAGATAAAGGGAACTGCCAGACAAATGATTTTTTGCACTATAAATTTTTGGTAGTACAACGTTGCTGCAAACAGTTGTCCTTTTCTTGTGTCTCTTCTCATTAAAACATACACTATTCTTGGCTCTCAACTCCATTCTCCTGCCCTAAGCATTAATAAAAATTGAGAGAAAGGCTAAAGACATAACCATGCCTCCCTTCTGGTTGTGTTCTTTATCGGCGGGGCTGGTGTGGGCTGCTCGTACTGCGGAGTGGAGCGTTTTCATTGCTTTGCTCTTCATCAAGAAGAAGGCAAATGAAAACCCCGAGAAATGTGTAGGAGGAAAAAGTTGTAATGTAAGCCTAGATCTGACGTCTCAAAAATGACTCTCATGTTCAGAGTGAACTGAACAAAACCTGGGGCTTGTCCCTGGCCATAATATGAATGTTGTAGTTGGGTTAAAGTGTGTGTGGCTGTGTGTGTTTATGAGTGTGGGAGAGAGAGATAAGGTATATTGTCCGTGTTATTATAGCAATAATATTACATCGTTGTAAAGACCTTATGATGACAAGAAGCCAAGATGGCAAAATTGTGAGTGTGACAGAAATTTGAACATACTTGTAGCAGTGGCGATGTTACCTGTACAGCTGTTCAGCACCTGGTGGGGCTGAGCCAGCTAACCCCAGGTGTGGAAAAGGGGTGATGTCTCTGTCCACAGGATGGAGAAGGGTTTCAGGGCTTCTCTTTGATGGCAAGAACATACCCAGAGGTGACAGCAAGTGGAGATGCCCCATTTTGGCAAGGTACTACTGAAAATACCTGCTATGGCTCTTCCTTTAGGGGCCATTCCCAAATCTCAGTGAAAACCATCAGGGCTCAGCTGGGCTTTATTCCTACCCATAATTAAAGGCACTTCATTGGGGCAGATGAAACGTACATTAAATATAGATGTGAGCCTCTAAGCTAGTCCCTTTAGGCTGCCTCTGCAGTTGAAAGAAATAGGTGCTTTTTAAGGTGCAATTCATCTCCCAAGGTAGCACCTAAAATAAGCTTGAGGAACTATACCCAAAAAGCATCTCCTTCACTCCACTAATTAAGAAGTGAGTAAGGGGTCACTGACTTACAGGAAAACCCTTCTGTACAGCCATTTAAAACAGTCTAAATTAAAGCCATTTAATTTAGACTGAGATGCTCTCCAACCTTCCTTACAGCTCACCCTTAGTGCCATTGACCCATGACACAAGGGTCTATAATTTCTGTTTTTGAGCCCTGTAGGGATCTTGGTGTCTGGGAAATGGGAATGCCAAGGGTCTAAGAAGGTGTCTCAGGTAATGGCATGTCCAGCCTGGAGAGCTGCAGGGATGCAGCCAGCTCCCAGCCTGCCTTTCCTGGGAGAAATGCTCATGTCAGAGCTGCCATGGACGAGAACCATCCCCTTCTTCTGGGACCTGAAGCAGAACTTTGCATCTTTGTTGACAACACTCAGTTGATCTTTATTCTCTGGTGGATTTGTGTGTGTGTTTATTTCTAAAAACATCTAAAAAAGGGTCTGTTTTGCTTCTAGGTTCTGCCTAGCACCAGCAATGCCAACATCCCACGAGAAAAGCTGTTCCTGCTGTACTTTTGGAAGCTGGGACTTCCAAAATGACATGCTGAGCATTTCGCTTTTCGGACCCTATATATATATTTATTTTTTTTTTGCAACTGGGATAGTTCACCCAAGTACCGAAGCTGAAAGCAGCCTGCGTGCCTCTCGCTGCAGTGACAGCTGGCGTACCTCTCCACTGAATCAGCAGGTCACCGGGGACTAACAACTCCATTGATGTAAGTAAGGATCTCTTCCTCCCTGCCACTCTCCAGGAGGAGCAGAAAAAGAAAAGAAAAGAAAAGAAAAGAAAAGAAAAGAAAGGCAAGCTGCTTGGCTTTGGCTTGATTTGAAGAGTGTTTCTGCTTGCCTCCCTGCTGCAGGCTTTTCAGAATTCAGCTGTGCTCTTCTACATCTTTTCTGCAGTATTTAGCAGAGGGTGAGTGTGCTGGATATAGCTCCTGAATCCCATTAATTAGCCAGGCTTAGAATTGCACTAATATTTTTGTTTTGTTCTAAAGACACTTCAGTGTCCCTGCCTGCTGTCCTTTCAGAGGCTATGTGACCCCTCATAGTATCAGGATTTCCCCCCAAATATAAAGTGGCATCGCTGTGGGTGGGAAAGCACAGCAGCTGTCCCAGAGTGATATGTACAAACCCCGAGATTCTCTGCTGGTATCTTCCCAGACTTTTCTGCACTTGATTTATATCTGTTCAGTCATTCGGAGCAGCACAAGTTCCCTGGCCAAGAAAATCCTTCTCTGAAGCTGCCTTAAAATGGGGAATGTTCTTGCCAGTGTTACTTCTATTCAAAGTGCAAAACCCACTGCAAAAGCTGAGGTTGTGTCTGATCCCAGCTGCTGATCAATGGTCTTGAGGCACTGCTGAGAGGAGGCTGTGTTAAGCAACAGCTGCCAAAACAAAATGATTCCCTTTCTCTAGCTGCCTCCAAGGATTGCTTAGACCTTGACCTTGCAGACACTCTGACATGCGTTGTGATGAGCTGTCCTGTGGTGCTCTGGTGTAGAATATTGCAGCCTTACACCCGTGGTCCCAACAGCGCCGAACAAGAGGTGTGCAGGATGGGAGGGTGCAGAGGCACCGTCTCTGCTCGTTGCTGATGTTACAATGCAGGGAGAGGACTCTCCCCAGCTGCTCACTGGGAATCCAGCGCAGAAGACCTCTTTGTGGAAGGACAACAGAAAATTGGTGGAGCCTCACACAGCTTGCTAGAGCAGGACCCAGCGCCAATGAAGTCTTTCCACGACAGGCTGAGAGAGCTACGCATATTTCTGAAGGGAAATTAAGGCTCTCTTAGATGGGGCTGCACATCCCTCTGCCTGCATCCCACCAGAGAAAGAAGAGCTGAAAGGCAAAGCACCCACTAGCTCATCCCCCTGCCTGAAACAGACTCAGCTTTATTTAGATGACATGGAAGAAGGCTAACGGCAGCTCTTGAGCTCTCTAAGTGTGTCATTGATACTCGGTGTAAAATAACTCCATCCTAACTCTGTGCTTGCCCATTGCACGTCACTGATCAGACTGAGTTTTACAGATGAAACAGAAAGAGAATAATCGCACCCAAGCACAGAAACTTTCTCTCTTACCTTCAAACTCTGTTTGGCAGTTGCCAGAGTTTTCGTTTAAACTCTCCTCCTCATTGATAATGATGTTCTCGATGTCCTTCATCGTTAGGTGGTCCCGGAAGGCGTGGTAGAGGATGTGTTTCAGCTCTTCCAGTGTTATCCTCTGCATGTCGAACTGTGGGAAGAGGATCAAGTCAGACTTAGCCACTGGTATCAAGCATGGAGCTCAGAGGAAGAGAAGCATGTGGGCATAATGCAGTTCCCTACTTGGGATTTTTTTTCCCACCTCATTTCAACACCTCAATATAACTTTGCAAATTCTGCTCTTTTGGATTCATTTAACACTAACAGTGTGAAGGTTGCAAATGGATGTTGCTGGAGCTCTTGCCAGCTTACTTAATGCCGGCAGAGCAGTAGAGAAACACAGCCCTGTGCCAGGGATGGTCTTCCAGGCTGGAGATGCAGCAATCCAGTATCAGTCCTGGCCATCCCAGCAGAGATTAAACCCCAAGAGACTCCTCTGGTAGCTCTTACACCTTGCTGTGAGCCACAACCTTGAATTTGCCCCTTTTTGCCTTCTAACTCTCCAGTTGTGCCTGTGTGGCAAGAACAAACAGAGAAGCATAGAATCACAGGATGGTTTGGGTTGGAAGGGACCTCCAAGATCATCGAGTCCCACCCCCTGCCATGGGCAGGGACACCTCCCACCAGCCCAGGTTGCCCAAAGCCTCATCCAGCCTGGCCTTGAACCCCTCCAGGGATGGGGCGTCCACAGCTTCTCTGGGCAACCTGGGCCACTGCCTCACCCCCCGCACAGGAAAACATTTCTTCCTGATATCTCACCTAAATCTCCCCTCTTTCAGCTTAAAACTGTTCCCCCTCATGCTATCGCCACACTCCCTGATCAAGAGCCCCTCTTTCCCCTCTTAGCTGACTTCTGCTGTAGATACAGGAGGTAAATGTTGTTTTTACACACACCAGATACTAAAACCAGATGACGAGAATATGCAGAAATGGAGATTTTTTTTGCAGCAGAGGAACTTTGCACATGTGTGAGGTTCATGGTATTAATATCTGCTAATGGTGCAGAAGAGCGAGCTTGCACAGGCTGGCTTGCAGTGCAGGTGAGGAGACCGGTCTCTCTGGTGCAGTCAGTAAAGAAGGATGGAAACGCTCCAAGTCACCCCCAGCATTTCGGAAACAGTACAGCAAGAAATTCCTCCTCCTTTCCCCACAGCCTGATAAGGACAGGACAAACCTTATCAGCGCTGAGCTGCTCGGTGTGTTATCTAGGGTCGTCTGCCCTGACCACTGCTGCACACCTCATTGCACAGATGCAAAACTGTTAATCCTTAAAGCAGTTAACCAAGAAAACTAAGTGTACTTTGTTTATAATCTGGACCCCAGAATATTTATGCATAGCTGTGTGTGTATGATCAGATTTGCACCCATCTATATATATTTATCCATCTATCTTTAGAAGCGCTGATATCTATAATTCTATTTATTTGTTTATTTTCTGCAACAATCAAAAACCTGGTGCAGAAAATCTGTGGAAAAATGGACAGCAGGAGCAAAAGCCAAAGTTCCTGTTTTTGCCCCAGAGGAGTTCTCTGAAAAGCAAGTCTGGTGCGTTTGGTGGTTTTGCTGCTGTCCTTGTTCCGCAGAGATTCAGCGTTCACGCCGTCCAGCTAAAAATAGCGAGCACACAATTGTCACCGGTGGCTCCTTGTTGCACGGTTCAAAGCCGGATTGCAAATCCCTTAAGTATTTAGGCACAAATTTCCAGCCTGCTTTGTTGTGCGTGAGGAAATCTCACCACCCATATTCTGCTTTCTTTAATGTTAAAAGAGCAAGTAAAAATCGAGCAGCTGTCTGCTTCACCACCAGCATGATTATGAAAAGCGTTTCTCTTGGCAACTGGAGGTGTGGAAAAGGGGGTTAATTCATACAGTTGCCTTACAGCGGTGTCGGGGGGTGTCATTAGTGGAGGTTTGCAGAGTGCCTTGAGGCTGCCCGGGGTTTGCAGCACTCCTGGTCAGCTTTCTGCAGCGCTGATTGTACACCAGCACCGGGGAGGTAAAAGCAATGATTTCTCGCCTTCCACCCAATCCTTCATTCCTTTTGAGTCCTTGTCTTGGGGAAACTCAAGCCTGAACTTGAGCCCCAGTGTCTTCCTGAGTCCACCCCTATGCCAAACCCATAATTTCATCCTGGTGGTCGCAGGAGCAGCCTGTCTGCATGCGGTTACCCCATCCCATCTCATCCGGGGCTGACGTCCAACCTGTGCTGGAGTTTTCTTCCTGTTCTTGGCTCAGGGACAGTTCTCTGAGGCCAATAAAAACTTTATTTTTTTTTTTTTTAATTTGCTGTTGTTTATGGGCTTGGTTTTTCCCCCTTCAGGGAAGTCTTTCTAGAAGCTGTCCAAAAGTCATGTTCACCCATCCCCAGATGGCTGCTCACCCCTGGGAGTGCTTCACAGCCCAGGGCAGTGTCTCTGAGACCTGCTCTTTACTTTTTTGAAGATATCTGCAGGGATGTGTGAGCCTCCTTAGGACTTATTTCCTAGAAGTACTCACAGACTCTGTGTCTTTGCTGGTCCCCCTCTATTCCAGCATTGCCACTAACAAGCTTTCGCAGAGCTTTGATGTTACTTGTTGCTTTGCTCCAAGCTACCTGGATTACAAACACCATGCTTATTGCCTAATCTCAGCAATGCTGAAACAGTAATGACTTGTGGGGCTTGGGCTCTTCCTGTACTGGTTAATCTGTCTAGTGGGAAACAATGGTTTTCTTGACAAACACGCGTCTGTTGCTGCATCTCCAGCTCTTCCTTTTAAGCTTGATGCTAATATAGGGAGAAATTGCTTTTTCAGTTGTTCTATTGGCATTTTGCCTTTTAGGAAGAGGAGCCATCTCAGATGGGGTTCACAGTCACCCTTGTTGGCTCATGTCTGGCCTGTTGGCCAGCATATGGCCATTGCTCCTGCTTTGGTCTATGCTCCAGTGCATGCATACAGGAGGCATGTCTTTCAGTATACGCGTATCAGCACAGGCGTTTGTCCAGAACAGGCTGCAGCTCGGTGCAGCCAGAAACAAGATTTTGCACTGGGCTTGGGCTCCCAGGTAATTTCTTCTATTATCATTGCTCTCCAAACTGGCAGTTTCCCTGATTTACTTTTCAATTACTCCGCCTTTTTATTGTTGTAATGACAGTAACCAGGGAGCAACTCTTAACTTTTATTGGCTCCACTGAGAGGAAAACTGACTGTTGCAAGCTGAAAACTTTCTATAGGATTTATAATTAGAAGAAATCAATGATGCTGCTTGTGAACTGGTGTTCTTGGAAAACACTGTAAGCAGTGATGTAGAAAGAAACTCTGTCTAAGGCTGAGGCTCAGATGCCTCAAGTGATGCAGGGAGTGCCCAGAATGAAAACCTGTGCTTGTACATTTGGCTTCTGTGGAGAACATCAGAAATCGTCTGTCCACTGCAGTTTCTGATGGCCCTCAGTAACTGTCCCCAGCAGAAACATCTCCTGGAGTTGGAGGATGTTGTCCCAATAAATATCTGGAAGGGAAAGTGGACCTGATCTGTTCCAGCCTGTAGCTTCTGGACTTCTCTCAGATTTACATTTCCTGCTGGGAATGAAAGCAGGGTCCCTACCAGTTCCTTCATTCTCCCTACCCCCAGTTTCCAAAGTTTGTGGCTGGCTGGCAGCTACTGGACAGCAGAGCACTGCTGTCACTCCTGGCACCAGGATACTTCTGTGTCCTACCTGGCACCTTCTCCTTCTGCTCTACGCAGGGAAAGGACTCTAGGGGAAGAGTTTGCTTCTTTGAAGAGTTAAATCCTGAAATATTACTCTTGATAATTTCCTTTAATATCAGCTCTGCTTTTAAAAAAAGAGTGGGAGGCTCCTCTCTGGAATCCTCAGTTGGCCTCACTGCCGTGCAGACAGGGTGATGCCAGGTTGGGACCTTGCAGCAGTGTGAGCAAGTCACGTTGGTGACATGCAAAATCTTCTGAAGCCACATCACTAAAAATGCTCTTCTCAAGAAGTGGGACTAGCTCCTCCGGCAGCAATGGTTTTAGCTGGGAGAGCACTTGGATACTTATTTATCCTGAGCCTGTTGGGCACAGGTTTTCCATTAAGGCATCTGAAAAGGTCATCTTGGGCTGTTGAGGGCTCCAAGCTGAGACTGGGACAGCAGCAAGAGAGCAGGCTTTTGCCTGGTGCTTTTGGAAATCAGGTCTGCAAACCCAAAAACATCATAGACTCATAGAATCATTTAGGTTAGAAAAGGTCATCGAGTCTGACCGTTGACCTAACACTGCCAATCCCACCCCTAAACCATGTCCCTAAGTGCCACATCTACGTTTCATAGATTCCTTGTTTGGGGCAGCCCTTATGGATCTCTGAGTAATGAGATAACGCCTTTGTTTTGCTCTCAGACCTATTGCCTATCAGGCCACTGGTGTCTTGAATACCTGCAAGGCAAATGCAGAGGGGCTCTGCCCATTTTTGCAGCCAACAGCCACAACAGGGGGATGTGGCCCAAAAACTACCGGGACTCTTTGCAGAGCAGCTGGGCTTTGTGCTGCGCTAACCACAGTCACGTCGTTTCTAGGCCGCTTTGAACGCAGGCAGCTCTGAGAGTGCTCGCAGCCGACTGTGGAGCTGCTCCTTGAGCCAGCCGGGCTTTTGAGCTCATAAACCATGGATCTGGGACTTTTCCATAGGACCAATGGTTCGTCTTGGCTGTACATTAAAGGACACAGCCCCAGTGTGCTCCACGCAGATTCTAATGTCTCTGCCCGGGGGCTGGATGAATGGCTGGTTTGTACCGACTGTACCTCCCAGATAAGCTCAGCCACAGATATTTTATATTGAGAAGAAAACAGTGTATGCAGGAGAAGCCAGGAGTCTAGAGGGTCAGGGGGGCCAGGCAGAAAGGGAGCGAGCTCCTGCAAGCGACGCTGCGTTTGCAGATGTGCTGGGATGTGCTGGGAAGGATGAAGGGCTCAGTACACACACCTAAGAGGCAGCAAGTGCCAGTTCAGTCCACAGCACTGTGGCAGGACCCACTGTAAAAACTCCTGGATGACCTTTTATATATGCATATAAAAGTATTGTCTTGTTTTATATATACATAAAATATATAATAAAGTGTAAAATGTGTTTATGCATATATATATATAAAACG